TATTTATTATGCAAATTTTATAGTATAGCAACGATGGTTACATATATACACATGTGTGTGTGTGTGTGTGTGTGTGTGTGGGTGTGTGTGTGTGTGTGTGTGTGTGTGTGTGTGTGTGTGTGTGTGTGTGTGTGTGTGTGTGTGTGTGTGTGTGTGTGTGTGTGTGTGTGTGTGTGTGTGTGTGTGTGTGTGTGTATGTGTATATATATCTCGCAAAAAGAGAGAAGACCTATTCTAATTCTGTTACTGATTTAATACGATGTTTCAGCCCTCGGCCTATTTCAGATGTGTATAGCTCAAAAAATTGATAACCTAAACATCCTTAAAATATATATTATTTTCCACATGTCTGCACCAATCATCGAATACCATTTGTTCGGTTTCCTTAAAAAACAGAAAAAATGTACAATTACCTTTTCTCGCTCAATGGCTTTTCGGTCTACTGGGCAAAAGCCACTCTGACCTTCAACTTCTTTCCTGTGAAAATGATTACCCGATATAAACAACTAAAACACTGAATAGGAATTACAGCTTACTTGTTTCCCTTATTCAAATTTAGCAAGTCAGTTTCGACTCTCATGGTCGACATAATTGCCCCTTCAGGGTTTATGGCCTCGGGCCAGAAACTTGAGGAAGCATCAGAGGAGTTTCTCCGTGTGTTTATATGGATCGGAATTGAAAATAATAACAATAATAATAATAACAATAATAATGATAATGATAATCTAATAATAATAATGGTGTAATCGTTGATTCGAGGATGGTTGTTCTCTTTGAATATGTATAGCCTCTTTTATCTTATGTTAAAAGCCGGTAGAGGCGTGATCTAAAACATGGAAGTTATCTGCTGAACACAAAGCGCGACAACGTGGAGAATCTTTCAGATGCTTGAAAATGTGAGAGGCCCTGTCACTGACTAAGTGCTCTCTAACACGTGTGTAAAAATGCCGGCAGGTTTCACCGACGTAACAGGCATTACAGCCAGCACACACAAACTTATAGACCAAACGTGAACGGAGCCCGTCAGGGACAGGGTCTTTCACACCAAACAAGTTACAGATTTTGAAGGAAGAGAAAACCAGTTTAATATCCAAGTCATAGCAATAGCGCTTAATAAAATGGCGGATCTTTTTTTGAGTGATAGCAGAAAAGTGGCCTATGTAGGGTAACTTAAAGTAAAACGTAAGTGAAGTGATGGGAAGGGAAGGTGGGAAGGGAATCCCGGGGTTAGATCACGCCTCTACCGGCTTTCAACTTAGGATAAAAAGAGGCTGTTCATATTCAAAGAGAACAACCATCCTTGAATCAACAGTTACACCATTATTATTATTAGATTATTATTATTATTATTATTATTATTATTATCATCATCATTATTGTTATTATTTTCAATTCCGATCCATGTACACCATGTAAATCTAAAACTATCCTTTTGATTCTCACATTTTCATGCTTTACCTCTTTTCTTGTTGTCACTATTCATCATAATTAGCATTGTTCTAGTTACTATATAATTCAACTTCTAAAGCTTTGTACAATAATTAACTGAAGATGACAGAAGTTTCTGTCGAAACATGTTTTACAGACTCAAAAGTTTTGTCGCTTTCTTGAAATAATAATAATAATGATACAAAAATTTCTATAGCGCTCCATTCTAGAGCTCTAAGGTGATTTACAATAAAATGTTTAAAGCAGTAACTTAGTAAATAATAATTCGAAAAATACTAGTGCAAAACTACAAATTAAAATAACGCTTAAAAAGATATGTTTTAAGGTTACTCTTAAAAGATGTAAGATCTAAACTACAGTTTATATGCTCTGGAAGATTATTCCAAAGTTTAGGGGCACTGACCGAAAAAGCATGATCACCCTAAAATTTTAACCTTGATCTAGGTGTCACTAACAAGTTACTGGTTGATGATCGTAAATTCCTAGATGGCGTGTAAGTTTCCAACAAATCACGAATGTAGCTAGGAACTAAATCATTTAAAGATTTAAAAGTCAACAGTAGGATTTTGAAAACAATCCTCTGCTCCACGGAAGCCAGTGTAGTATCTGAGTAAAGGAGTAATGCAGTCATATTTAAAACCACATAAGATTAGACGCGTCGCACAGTTCTGAAATAACTTAAGTCTATGAATTAAGTAGTTCGGAAGTCTATATAACAGAGAGTTACAGTTGTCCAATCTACACATTACGAAGGCATGCGTTAACATTTTGGTGCTTTCAGCTGACAAGAACTTCCTAATACAAGAAATATTACGCATGTGTAAAAAGGCGGATTCACAAATGGCAGCCACTTGGCGTTCCATGTTCAAATTATTGTCAAAAATAACACCTATGTTGCTGGCAGAGTGAGAGGGATTTATAACTGAACCATCAACCGCTGTGAAAGTGAGGAGCTAAGAGACTGGACGAAAAATTAAAACAAAAAATGAAAGACAAGAAAAGAAAATAGCTTTGGACGTTTGATTGTTTCTTCGACCACCTAAAATGTTCCTCTGTGGTTGCACACCTTCTCTATAACACTTCATTACAACTTATAAGCTACAGGGGAAAATGTACCTCAAACCTATCAGTAATATTACTATCATTTTAGTCACAATACGCTTACAAGCTAACACTTATTTCACCATCGAAAGCAAAACGAGACAAATGGAACAATTGCGAAGGAGCAAAAAAGAGGCTAAGCGATCCAAGCGTAGCAAAATGGTAAAAACCAATAGTGACTTAAATACACAGAAATGAACCTGTACTCAACTTAAACAAAAGCAAATGAAACATCGGAACAAAACATCGTGAGCTCGAAAAATGAAGGTTTCTCGAGCGAGCAGTGTGTTACTGTTACACGACGAATCATTTCAGATGCAAATAACAACCGCTGACCAACCGCTGACCAACTCGTTTTCTTTCGTTTTGCCGTCAGTTAATTTTGATTTGCCGTGACTTTTTGTTTTGCCGTGACAGTTGTGGGCCACCGTAAAGAATAGCCTGTCTTATGAAAATTACATCAAATGAAATCGAAATTATAGTACACTGTAGTATATTGCGAAATGGTAAAGGGACTCAGAAGTTATGTGTAGCTTCTCCATTATGGAACGTTATCCGTTAAATGAAATTTGTTGATATCACGACGATTTTGATCAGTTTGCATAGAGCGAAACCAGGGAGATTTCGCCGAGTGATATTAGCCAAGTAATTCTTGGTTTTCACTCACGTGACTAACTGCTTGACGACAATTGCTATCCGCCATGTTGGTGTTACATATATGTAAACAAAGCGTATCGAACCGCATTATTTCACGCCTGTAGAGCATCTTTTGTCTTCGAGAATCGCAGTCGAGGGCATAATGTTGTCTAGTTCGCATTTTGAGACGAAGGCAACAAACCTTTGTGGTTAGATTTTCTCTTGTTTCCGTTAGGGAAGAAGATAGGTCTTTGTCGCTCATCTGAAGCTGAATTTCTGTCATGTTGAGCTATAATTGCAGAAATAGGAAAGAATAAACAATATTATGCATTGTTACAGTTTAAAGGAAAGCCTTGTCAACTTTGGCCATGTGAAGGTAGGTGCTAAACAAACAGGAACAAACAAAAATGGAAGAGCTAAGTCTCTTTAAGTTGTTTAACTTGTGCCATTGCAGATCGTCATTAATTATTGTCAGCGAGTAGTGCTTCACATTACTGAGCCACCACTATCAGACCTGTAGGACAAAACACCAACACAGTATCTCGAACAATTTCCACTTAAGTCTCTTAGATCCTAAACAAAAGATCAAATCCGGCTTTATAATTACCTTATGAAAAATACGGGAAGTCGTGTTCTCAAGAAGAGCGTAGATCATGTTATCTTTTTCCTGGAGGTTTACTTCGGTGATTTTGAGCTAACGTGTAAACAAGGGAAATAGTAAATTTTCGGTGATATTTCTCGAGTATTCCCAAATGAAATAAAACTTTTCATGAAGAAATAAGAAAAGAGTGGAAGAGAGATATTAAAGTACTGCAGGCATAACCATATGTTACCTTCATTGTTAAATTGAACAACTTTTCATCAAGATCTCGAAGAGAAGAATGAACGACTCTAAGCTCATTCGTTTTGTTTTCCTGCAAATCAGTGGATACACGTAAATTGCTATATTCCATGTGAAAGAATGAGACTATGACACCTTTCAAAGGAATATGTTTCGCAACCAAGAGCAAAACCAG